TACTGCTGAACCCAGGACAATTTTTAAAACAGAAGTTGTTGTTGCACTATGTGTTACTGTGATAAACACTGGAAATGTACAGCCAATTGAATATTTCATCAAAATAATATCTCTGATTATTTTTAGTAATATTTATATCTTTTTACAGCAGAATAGGTCAAAATTAAGATCAATGTTTTCTCTGTTCCAGGAAGACACTGCTTAAATTTAAAACTAGATACATTAATTTCATAATTTCATAGCCAGTCATAACCATAACAACAACAAAAAAGTTTATGTAAAGTGTTGGTGTCATGGTTGAAAACCAGTCAGGCAGCTCATTCACTCACTCCCCCACTTCTCGCCCTCCCTTACTCCCGGAGCCATGGAGAGGAGAATTGAAAAGAATGCAACTCCCACGGGTTGAGATAAGAACAGTTTAGTAACTAAGGTATAACACAAACCACTCCTGCTACCACCAATAATAATAATGATAAAGGAAATAACAAGGGAAGAGAATACAACACCTCACCATCAGCCGACTGATAACTCGCCCCACACCACCCTACCAAGCACCCGACCGACCGATACCTACTCCAACCCTGCAGTCTACCAGCCCTTCTGGGTGAGTCTCACTTACATCCTGGGCATGATGTACTGTGGTATGGAATACTTCTTTGGTCAGTTTGGGTCAGGTGTCCTGTCTCTGCTTCCTCCCGGCTTCTTGGCCAGACTAAAACATTTGAGCAGTAACTAAAAACATCAGTGTTATCAGCACCGTTCCCATGCCGAAAGTCAAAACACAGCACTGCACCAGCTACCAAGAAGGAGAAAAATGACTGCTACTGTTGAACCCAGGACACACCTGTACAAAGGAAAAGCTTTCTATCCAACTGTCCTTCTTGGTAGCTGGTGCTGATGTTGGTAGCTGGCCTGATGTTCTGGTCTGGCCAAGGACTTTGTGAGCCTCATGCTCTGCCAGGGAGCAGGGGAAGCCAGGAGGAAGCAGAGACAGGACACCTGACCTAAACTGACCAAAGAAGTATTCCATACCACAGCACATCATGCCCAGGATGTAAGTGAGAGTTACCTGGAAGGGCTGGTAGACTGTGGGGTTGGAGTAGGTATCGGTCGGTGCTTGGTCAGGCTGGGGGAGGGTGAGTTATCAGTCGACTGGTGCTGGGGTGTTGTATTCTCTTCCCTTGTTATTTCCTTTATCATTATTAATATTGGTGGTAGCAGTAGTGATTTGCGTTATACCTTAGTTACTAAACTGTTCTTATCTCAACCCGTGGGAGTTGCATTCTTTTCGATTCTCTTCTCCATCCCTTTGGGAGCAGGGGGAGGGAAAGAAGGGGGGGAGTGAGTGAACGAGTTACCTGACTGGGTTTAAACCACAACAAGGTGTCACACTCAATCAGAATTGTAGCACTGCTGTTAAATTATTATTACACTTGCACATTTACAGTCTTATACTGGTACAATTGATTATCTCCTATTTTATAGAATCATAGAACCATAGAATAGTTAGGGTGGGAAAGGACTGTAAGACTGTTTAGCTCCAACCCTGCTGCCATGGGCAGGGATGCCTCACACTAGACCATGTCACCCAAGGCTCTGTCCAGCCTGGCTTTGCATACTGCCAGGGATGGCATTTATTTCTTCTTTGGGCAACCTGTTCCAGTGCCTCACCACCCTCACAGCTTTGGTTAGGTGTTTATACCTTTATGTCAGTAATCTTTCCATTGAAGCTGAAACACATTCTTCATTGTCATTAATGAACAATCCTTAACTAATTTGTCCTTAATTGACAGTCAGATTTCTTCTAATCATGTTCAATTTCACACCATGCTCTGTATGTGCTCTAGCAGAATTATGGATAAGCATTACATTGACTCAGTATGTCAAGTTGTAGGAATGGTCACTCAGTGACCAAACATTCACCAAACAGAGACTGGGAGTGGTGCCTTTCCATTAAGATCTGGTATATTTTTAAATTTAGGATTAGTTAAGAAAATCAGTAAACCTCTGTTGGCATTGAGTACTTGCTGAGGCTGTAAGGGATGGAGACTGGTGTTTTACTCTGGGAGTTTGGTGACAGAAAGGTGAAGGTGTAAAATTGGGGTACTGCTTTTGCAAGCAAGAAGGAATGAAAGAATGACAAGCCTGATCCTTGGGCCTGATATGAGACCAAGCTGCAAGCTGTTGAGGTACTACCAATAGTAGCCATTACTTGTTTTAACTGAAGGGAGGATATGTGTTCTGTCACAGAGTATTTGTGATTTCTCCTATCACAAATGTAAGCATGTGATATTAATATTTTTTCCTTTCAACAAAATGTCATTTTTATTTGAAAAACCCCATATTTTTAAATTATTTTGCTTTGCTTGACTTTTTTTGTCATCAGAAATATAACAGTCAAAATTGCTTGTAGAAGGCATGAAGAACGTCAGTTGCCAAGCACTGTTTTAAGTAATTCACCATCTAAGATTCAATTGCAAAATTTGGCTAGCAGGATGCTGATGTTTTGTAATTAATTTAAGATCTATGACAGTCATCTCAAAAATAACATTTATGAGATTGTTACATTGGTATCCTTCTTGTAATAAACGTTGTGTAATTGAAATTTGGTAGATGAGTGGTGCTTCAAAATATTAAAACTGTTTACCGTGGGATGTTACACAAGCATCCTTTTAGCCTCAGCAGAATGAAGTAAAAGGAAAGCTCTTATTGGACAGACACATTCGTTTTCTTAAGTCCATTTTTTCTTCAGATAATAGAGGAAATAGAGTGTTCAGGAGCAACTCCTTTTTCCCCACCCATTTGTAAATTGCAGGTTTTCACCAACACTGCAATGAGAGCCATAAAATTTTGAAGAGATATTTCCAGAATCCAATCAGAATACTAGCTGGTTCCGCAAACACCAAGATCCTTGCCACATAACTTCTAGCTTAATCTCTTGATACATACTCAGTTATCTACATTTACTTCTACATGTAAAACACTGGATATATTTTGGGGCAAAACCATTTATAGCATGCATTACTTAACTGAAATTTATTTTTGACAAAAATATGAATAGATTAGCAATTTTTATGAAGTTTATTGATGTTGTAGAAGTTCTTAGGAAATGTGTCTCTACCTTGGAACAAATTTTAGAAAGTGAACATTTTTTATAAAGCAGTGCAATAAGTGAAAATTATGACAAATGATTTTTATGTTGTAACCTGAACTGTATTTTCTGTGATGCACACATTCCTTAGACTCCTGTAATGCACTTCCTTTCTTACTGGAAGATAGCTTAATTAGTAACAAGATCAGTTGTTCAAAGTTGGGGTGATGAGAGCAGAATAAACAGAGAACTACTGAAATCCTGGAGCAATGTTTCCAAATTGAAATATTTCTGACTCTAATTTAAATCCAATCAGAAAAAAAAAAAAAAAAGAAATTTTGCTTAGAATCTATATAGTTGAGCAATGCTGTCATAAATGTGTTCTTCAGCTACATCAACATATTACAGTCTGTCATACAAATAAATAAGAAAAAATAAATAACCAATGAAGCAGAAGTCCAAACTTTATAAGTAGTTATCTAGGGAACAGCTAGTGACGTATAATGTGTGTGATGGTTTATAAGGGAAACTCTTTCTCAGATCTGGCAGGTGGAAGGCTGAAGAGCTGTGCATTTGTTTACAGTGTTGGACAATATCAAGAATAGTTAAACTCAAAATGAAGTCCCAATAGACCTGTCAAAAAACAACAGAAAGATTAGTTATTTAACTACACCTAATGCACCTTTGAGAATTGCAGTAGAACTTAATGTACATGAAGTGCTTTGACATCATCATATGAAAAAGTTTGAGATGTATTAGTGGTTGGTCTTGATCAAAAAAATACATTATAGTCTACTACTACGTAATCTTTTTCAGTGATGTAAAATAATAGTAAATTTGCTTTTATTATGTTTATGTTATATTGTAATTATTTTTATAATTATATATGATGATGTACCTCAGCAGAGTTGCTTTATAGTTAATTACTGTTATTGTTGCCACAGATTATAAAATACCAGTATAGGATTCATATATTAAAGGAGAATATGTGCTAAAAGTTGAGTGAAACACTATTCAGTATGCAAGAATAATCAGGAAAGAGGGAAAACTGTTGATATGTTGTCTCAAGCGTATTTATATATCAAGTTATAAACATTCTTTGACATTACAAATCAGGAAGTTAAAGTTTCTAAGAGTGTCTCTTCTGAGTGGAAGAAAGACTCTTTTATTCTTTTTAATGGATCCACTCTAAAACACTTTACAATCTTTATAGTTAAGTCAGCAGAAGCACTGATATTCAGTCGTGGTTTAAACCCAGTCGTGGTTTAAACTGTCGTGGTTTAAACCCAGTCAGGTAATTCGTTCGCTCACTTCCCCCCCTTTCTTGCCCTCCCCCTGCTCTCGGAGGGACGGAGAGGAGAATTGAAAAGAATGCAACTCCCACGGGTTGAGATAAGAACAGTTTAGTAACTAAGGTATAACACAGTTCACTACTGCTACCACCAATGATAATAATGATAAAGGAAATAACAAGGGAAGAGAATACATCATCTCACCACCAGCTGACCGATAACTCGCCCCCCCCAGCCCGACCAAGCTCCGACCGATACCTCCTCCAACCCTCCGGTCTCCCAGTCCTTCCGGCTAACTCCCAGTTACATCCTGGGCATGACGTGCTGTGGTATGGAATACCTCTTTGGTCAGTTTGGGTCACGTGTCCTGTCTCTGCTTCCTCCTGGCTTCCCCTCCTCCCTGGCAGAGCATGAGGCTCACAAAGTCCTTGGCCAAACCAAAACATCGCTTGTTATCAGCTCTGTTCCCGAGCTGAAAGTCAAAACATTGCACTGCACCAGCTACCAAGAAGGGGAAAAATGACTGCTACTGCTGAACCCAGGACATTATCCACCCCTTATTCCATACCATTCACGTCATGCTCAGATCCCACATTTTCAATATACCATCACTCTTATCTCAGTGCATGGACCAGTCCCTATAAAGCTGCTGAGTCCATCTGGTCCATGATGTCAGGATCCATCTCTTGTAACAGTCTTCCAGAGCAGGAGAGGCTGTGTGCAGTGTTCACACTCGTGAATAACGTGGGCAATAGTGTCCATTGCTAAGTCCACCCCTCGATCATGAGTCCATCTCTATGTTGCATCTCTGCTCTGATGGCCTGAAGTGCCATGGGCCCACCAGGCTTAAAATAATTCACTGTCCCCTTCAGCAGTTTCTGCAGCTTGTTGCTGGGGACTCCATACAGCTGCCTTCCATCTCCGATGCTTCCAAAGCACTGGAGGGGCCCAGTGGACTAGATACTTGCCCATACTGTCACACACACCCTGACACTCCTGGCTGTCCAGCCTTGGGGAAAACCTCTTGGTCCCCCTGTATTGTCGTCTAACCCCAGACAAGACCCAAACCTGACACTGCTTAACCTTTGAGATCAGACAAAATGGTTGTGGGTAGAACACAGTCTGTGTGTGTGCCAACATGCTGATCCCCATCACAATCAGCAGGCAGGTCCCAAGGATACCCAAAGGCCATTCAAAACCTTCAGAACTCTCAGTTAATGCTGCTGTCCTTGTCACTGGGGCTGGTGTAGCTGCTGTGCTTCCCGGCTCTCCCACCACCAGCTTCTCTTTTCCTGAGTCCAGCTCTTCCTCCTCTGCCTTGCTGGGAAATGCTGCCTGGTCTCCTGCATCCTCCTGGGGCTCGGCGGGCGGCTTCCGGGAAACGCTCTCGGCCGTCGCGGGGCTGGGCTCGGCCGCGGGGCTCGGCTCGGCCGCGGGGCTCGGCTCCTCCGCGGGGCTCGGCTCCTCCGCCGCCTTCTCCCGCTGCTCGGCAGCCCCTTCCTTCCGCTCCTCGACCGCCCCGACCTCCTCCACCGGCAGCCGTCCCCTCGCGGCCTCCGGCCCCGCTCCCGCCGCCGCTTGGTCCCCGGGGCCGCTCTCCCGGGCCGGTTCGGCTGCCGCCGGCTCCCGGGGCCGCTCCCCCTCGGCTCCCCGCGGCCTCACGAAGATGGAGAGTAGGGTGAGGGCCAGGACGGTGAAGAGCAGCCGGACGGACAGGTACAAGTCCACGACCACGTCCGTCCCGCCCTGCTGCTGGAGCCCACCCATATTACAAGCCATTGCCATAAAGCACAGTGAGACAAGAACCTTAGCCCAAGCCCTATACTTGATAAACACTAACACAGCAAATACCGGCTCTACGTAAGTTACAACATTCTGAAACTCTGAGATCAACAAGAACAACTCTGAGAGCCAATAAATCGTCATTGTGACGAGTGACTATTAATCTGGTCAGATCTGTCGTTATCTCAACCCTTCGTGCCCCACGTTGGGCGCCAAAAAGAACTGTCGTGGTTTAAACCCAGTCAGGTAATTCGTTCGCTCACTTCCCCCCCTTTCTTGCCCTCCCCCTGCTCTCGGAGGGACGGAGAGGAGAATTGAAAAGAATGCAACTCCCACGGGTTGAGATAAGAACAGTTTAGTAACTAAGGTATAACACAGTTCACTACTGCTACCACCAATGATAATAATGATAAAGGAAATAACAAGGGAAGAGAATACATCATCTCACCACCAGCTGACCGATAACTCGCCCCCCCCAGCCCGACCAAGCTCCGACCGATACCTCCTCCAACCCTCCGGTCTCCCAGTCCTTCCGGCTAACTCCCAGTTACATCCTGGGCATGACGTGCTGTGGTATGGAATACCTCTTTGGTCAGTTTGGGTCAGGTGTCCTGTCTCTGCTTCCTCCTGGCTTCCCCTCCTCCCTGGCAGAGCATGAGGCTCACAAAGTCCTTGGCCAAACCAAAACATCGCTTGTTATCAGCTCTGTTCCCGAGCTGAAAGTCAAAACATTGCACTGCACCAGCTACCAAGAAGGGGAAAAATGACTGCTACTGCTGAACCCAGGACAGACATGTAAGCAGAAATATATGCAGATTTCTTTGGAAGTAATGGTGGAATATAGCAGCACTCAGTATGAATAAGAATGTCAGGGAATTAGATCTGGGAATTGTAGAAATCCAGTATTACTCTGGATGCTAGCATTTTTTGGACTTGGTAGTAAACCTGACGATATTTAAAAATCATGGCATTTTTTGTTTAAGTGCTTCTGTAAATTTGGATTTTGCTTTCTAGAGTGCAGATGTTCATACATAGAGAAATGCAATGTTCTCAGCTCTTTCTTACATTCTTCCAAACTTCTCTGAAAACGGTTTCCTACCACTGTGTTTCCATCCTGTTGTTCACATTTTGTATGTCTCCTCTCCCCTTCACTCCCTCATTTCTGATCTAAGAGAGTACTTTGGTTTCCTCTGTAATGAAATGAAATGAAAATACAGGTACCATCAGAGCTCAATTCATCCATATGCCTAAAATATTTGGTTGAAAATGGGATGGTACTGATGACTAGTTTGGACACACAAAATCAGGGAAGATCCATCCCAGTCCCCTGTGAAATGTTTTCACAATTGAATGATATTTCATGCTGTACAAGATTGAGAGCAGCTACTGCATTTTATAAGTAAAAAGTAAAATAGACATCTTTCATTTTCATTAAATAATAAACCAGGGTTAAATATATAATTTAATAACAAAATACTATTTCAAGTAGCTACTGTGCAGAATTTCCAGTTTCACAGTGCAACATGTGAAAATATAACTTGACAAGTATCTAATACAGATTTTACTGTAATTATTATTCGTTATAATTAACTTTTATCAGGTAAGTGTAGATAATTGTTTGAAGCCTCCTTTTTCTATAACAACCTGTAAGATCAAATAATCAATAACATCATTATGTTTGTAACCATCACAACCTATGTCTTGTTTTTAAGGATTAATATGAGAGAACATATTAAAATGCATTAGTAATTTAAAATTGGATTGACCATGAGAGTCAATCTAGATCTTTGAACTTAAATCATGTAATGTTTTTGGCCCTTGTTATTTTGCCTGTTACATTAAGCCTGCAAGAATTTCATTTACTAATTTTCATCAGTCCTCCACCTGTCACAATATTTCACTTACCTTCCTTTAGCTGTCAGTCAAAATTACACAAATCTCTTAGAATCATAGAATCATAAAATCGTTTGCATTGGAAGAGACCTTTAAATGTCTTTAGTCCAACCCCCCTGCAATGAGTGAGGACATCTTCCACTAGATCAAGTTGCTTAGAGCCCTATTGCATTGATAATGCTTCTATTTCCTACAGAATGAGGGAAAGTGTCTGAAAACTACTTAAAATTTACAACATATACAAATAAGACAGGAAGAAGAGAACATGCAAATTTTGATGGGTAGGAAAAAAATAATAGATATGTTATTCTTGTAGTAAAAGGTAGCATTGCTTTGTTCATGGACATAACTGGGAAATAAAATCTGCAAATAATTGTGTTTGAATTAATGTTTGAAAACTGGGCATCTCAAATGAACACACAACTAAGGTTTAATCATATTACTTTTGGCATAAATAAGATAGAGCTTCTTCTTTCTGATAGCCACTTTTTATTTCTGATAAAGAATCTTCCATTTTCTTTAACGGTTTTTCTCTCTGTCAAGAAGTGTCATGGTTACCTTTGCTGAATCCAACTCACTTCTCTATTAACAACCTGGTGATTTTTGTGAGTAGGTAGAAAGCTTCGACAGGAATTTTGCCTCATTAAATATTGCTGGGGAAGACTTTTCTGTTTGGTTTTCTTTTCCTTCTTTTGGATTAATGGAATTCTAAATGATCATAAAGTGTAAAAGTTTTAAATTTAAGTTTTTTGTGTTTAAATTTTGTGGTTTTCTTCTCTTTTTGGAAATGGGTTTGTTTGTATGAGCGTGGTAGCGTGGTAGAATTGACAAAAGATCTAATGCTCTCAAGCCATGAAATCTTCAAGGATCTCAAGGATTATCCTGTGCTTCCCTACTTTGGTACAACTTTAACAATGGAGCTACCCAATAAAGCACTCCAGAAGGGTATGACATTTCTTTTGGTTTGATACCTATAGTCTGAGTACCATGAGTACTTCATAGTCATGAGGATTCCCAAATATCTGGACAAAAACATTTATGTCAAGCTTATGCATGGGCACACTTACTTTCACTGAGTGAAAAAAACAAACCAAGAAACAATAGGTTTGCACTGGTTTTAGAAAGTGCTAAATGTGATTGCCAGTAATAGATAAAACCTCATATTATTTACTTGCAACAGTGTGATGCCATACCTTAGCTTACTTTGTTTAGTAAGATCGTAACTTCCAAACTCTCGTAAACTTTTTTTCCAGACCATCATGCCAACCATCTGTTAAAACATCTCTACAGCATAGCCATCTGTTAAGTATTAAAACTTCTCAAGAGCTGTGCGTGTGTATATTTTTTTCAGGAATATTAAAGTTTTCTGTTTCATCTGGTATTGTACCAACAAACATGAATAAGTGCATTATTCTTACCACAAGAACTCTTGCAGTATGCATACTGCAGATGGGCAACTATGAATACATTAGCCACCATTCATAGGGAAATATCCCATCAGAACATTAGTGCTTTATTCATTATCTAATTCAAAACATTAACTCTATTTCTATTATCTCGTGACTACATGACTAAAGATTAATAAATAGACAATAGCTTTTTCTTGTATTCTGCTCACATTAAGAGTGTTAGAGCTGGTTTAATAAGGGTTACTTCTCTTGCACTTGTTCATAGAAAACTTGGAAACTCTGAAATAAAATTGATTTATACATCAAACTGAAAAAAAAAAATAAATGTCCTGTGCATTAAAAAAAGACTGCTATATAATCTCGTTTGTGCCACTGGCAAATATACTGTATTGTCTGTATTGAACTTATTAAGGGTTTCGCAGCTGGTGGTGTTATAATGAAAGTAGTTTATGGATGTGCTAGCTGGGTGACTGCAGAATTATTTGCTGTTGATTTATAAGTCATGGTAATGACTTTTGGTAACTTCAGATATAACTATCATTTGTAATTACCAAGAAAAATAATCCTAATTATTCTGTGCTGTATAAAATGACAAAAATTGTATCTGTTTATTTAGATTACTATTTTATTTCTTTGTAGCATAATAATACTATACAGCAAAATAGATTATTTTGTAAACCAACAAATTGTCAGAAAGCACAATAAAAAT